AACATTGCCAATAATTGTGATTATTATAAACGCAATCAATAGTATCGATGATAAGAGTTGTATGAAATACAGCTCTCCAGATGCTATACAGGTATTTGTGGCATTATTTGTCACATTAATCATGTTGCTTAATATTTAATTTATTTAATACTTATTTATCATTGTGTATTTATTTGCAATTTATTTTATGTGTTTCCACTGAATGTTTCCTTTAATCAATTTTTATATGCGTTTATTTGCATAAAAATTGTTGTTTGATTTATTATTTACAGTAATTATATAAAATATACATGTACATATGTTTTAGCACAGTTTCCTGGTAAGTTAAATTGATACTTTCTTGGAACATGCATGATATTAATGTCTGTAAAACATTATATAATTTAATGTTGAGGTATAACATTAAAATTGTACGTATCTAGTTAAAATGCTAATCACATAAACTTTAACATTAACTTTTTATTTTTAAAACATTTACATAAATATCAATACTATTCATAATTTTATATAACTATTTAGTATTATACTATTATTAAACATGGAAACATATGTTTAAAATTTATGAGATGACAGATTTGTAAAATTATAAGCAGGACTAAATATTATTTATATAATGTATTATATTTATACTACGAATTTATTAATTTAAGTTTTTTCTAACAATCGCTTGAATGCCAGCCGGAAATCGCCATTAAACGAGCCATAAATGATTGGATTAAGCATTGAATTGATATAAACAAACCATATAATTAAATGCATGACAGCTAACATCTGGTATTTTAATTCTTGATTAATATTAATCGTAAAGGACATTATGATATAGGGTAACATGCATATGGTAAACGCCAGGGTAATTATGATCGAACGTACGGCCACTTGAAACTCACAACTCAGCGCCCGATTGGTTGACGTTTGCCGTTGAGTACTAGCTTTGGATCGTTTATTGCCTTTAGTTTGGGTTTTGTGACGAAATTCACACGATTTCTATTAATTATATAATTGTTTGATTAATTTTATCAACAATTTTAGCAAAAATAATTTACTTTATAAATGCCATAATAGAGCGAATAAATGACCACGAGCAATATTAGTCCAATTGAAAGCGAAGCTAAAGTTAAACGATCGGGATCGTCGACAAACAGGCAAATATGTGCGCCTATACTCTCCACGTACAACAGATCGGCACCGATATGGTTAACCGTTAGGCCCACACCCATCGCCAGGGGTAGTGTCCACGAAATGGCGATCATAACCCGCGCCGGCCTTAGGCTCGGGTGGCGCGAGTACTCAACCCTCGACACCGAGAGATACCTATCGATGGCTATGAAGAAGATGTGGAGGAATGAGACCGTTGTTAACACGTGTGTTAAGAAGATATAGATGTGACACATGGCGTATCCCATACGCCACTCACTCAGGTGTACCACTTCGTGATAAGCAAACACCGGCATCGATAGCACACCTGTCAACAGGTCAGTGATGCTGAGCGATAGGATCAGGTAATTGGATCTGATCTGCAGTTTAGGTGTTGTGATGACAGCCGTTATCACAAAAATATTGCCGATAATTGTGATTAATATTATGATAAACAATAGTATCGATGATAATAATTGAACAAAAAATAAATCCTCGACGGATAGCATAATATTATGAGAATCCATAGCTGTGTTCTTGTATACAATCAAGTTGTTTGATATTCACAAATGTCATAGTGTATATTTATGCATAATTGTTATTTGCAGTTGTTATACTGAATTAACATTAATTACTAATATGCATAATTGTTCATGTACACTTTTTAAACACAATATCCTACTGAGCTGACGTTAGTGATAACTTGATTTTTAATTATAATAATCTATTTCTATTTATTTAGTTCTTGAGTTGTTTAATATTAATACCAATACAAAATCATAAAAATAATTGTACAGAAGTGTAATATTTAATTACGGGCTTTATTATTAACAACAACAAATATAATTATAAAAAGTACATAATATAACAATAAGAAATAATTTTAATTAAACGATATACTCAACTAATAATTTATATATGCATCGTAATTAGGCAACATTTCAAAAAGGCAAATATTATTACAATAAAATACAAACATTTTTTAACTATGTGATTTATTGGATTGTGTTTGATTTACCACTAGCATCGACAGCGCATTTACCACCCGAGCCCAACCCGGAGCATTTATTATTTTTGATAGTGTTTTTGGTGCCGCCCATGTTGGCATCTTTAATAAAATGGATCTAGATAATAAACAGTAAAATAAACTAATTATCAAAAAGTACCAATTAACATAAATTAGGTTACGATAGCATAATAAAGGGCCGGTCAATATATCTCGCACAAGTGGTTTGGTCAATTACTCCTATACCATAGGAGATAATCCAATTCTGTAAAAAGTATCTAAGAGCCCCATATACGCTAGTTCT